CAAAGCGAACGAGTTACAACATATGACAAGTATAGAAAACCGTTCATTATCAACAAACCATGATAATATGTACTTATATTTCATACTTAAACTATCAGAAATGATATTGATTCTAAATTATTGTTAAGATATTTTAGCTATTTTATAAGACACCATTTGAAAAAGTATCATATTCGTAAAAAAATGTCTTACGAAATACTTAATGCTACGCTTTTGTATTAAACGTGTCCTAAAAACTGTTAAGATGTTTTATTTTTTGATTCTATAAATTAAGTCTTATACAGCAGTAAAAACACTTAGGAATTGTTGGCGTATTAAAAACCTAATTTTGTTATAGTGGGTATACTTTTTCTCAACAAGCCAATCAGAAGGAACCAAACCAGTAGATGAACGAGGCAAAAAAATTGAGATTGCCTCTGCCAAAATGTGAGCTACTATATTTTTATCGCTCCCAACAAATTGGACCTTAAACGACTGTATGGACCGCAACAAGTGCTAGCAGTGCTTTATGATGGGTCCAAATTTAGTACTATCATCCTCTCCTCTTCTTGTCACAACTACAACCAACTGGGAGCACAAGCGGAGCCAATTTGGAGCTAGAAATGGCATTGGCTCTCCCTCAAACTTCAAAAATAAAATTTGATACAATCCCAAATCTCAGTTACCATCAAAGTTTTAAAAATTGGTTGCCTACATTTTTTAATAAAAAAAAACTATTTGTAACCAACTTTAAAAGTTTTAAAATAAAAAGAAACATAAATAAGTTTTACTGTTCCCACGTCCCACGCCCTTCAAACCCCTCACAAACAACGGTATCACTCCCCCTCGTCCTATATTGTCTGTTCTTCATATCGTATATCATGTTGCTGGCTTCTGTTATCGATCTCACTCTTTTTGATATATTTTTTTATCTACAAGAAAAAAAAAACATACTAAAAAGAGGGAGATCGATAGTGGGGACGAACGTGATAGACGATATGGAGAACATACAACAATGAGGTGACGAGGACTGGTGAGGAATCTTACCGGTGTTTGTGTGGGGTTTGAAAAAGGTGAAACTGATTGACATTTCTTTTTATTTTAAAACCTTTATAGTTGGTTACAGATGGATTTGTTGATTAAAATGACGTAAGGGGTCGTTTACCAAACACTTACCCAGTAAACGTTTACCGGTAAAGTTAACACTATCATTTACTTACTGGGTAAGATTTTAGTCCACCAAATTGGTATTGTGTGCAACAATTTACCTAGTAAACGCTTATCATGGTAAGAGTCATCGTCTTCACTTACCGGGAAATAATATCCCCAAAGGTTAGGCCCACTTTTTAGAGGTCAGTGGGATATTTATGCTCAAAATCCCGATTCAAATAGTTTTATAATGTAATATTTTTGCTCCTTACTATATTCATCAATAAGGTAATGTAACTTGATGGACACTTACCCAAGTAAGCGTTTGGTAAACAACCCTATTTTTAAAAGTTCGATAATTTAATTTATTAAATGATTTATAATTTTTTTCTACGGTGGTGACTAATCCATTTTGGTAACATGGAATGATGATCTGGAAAGTCCACATAATATTTTATTTTTATATTTAATAGTTTTGAAAATGACGTGTCACTGACAAGGCAAACCGCTGCTCACGCCGACCGTACATGGCGGCAGGAATGCAATCCTAGGTTGACGGTTTCCGACGGTTTAAAAACGTAATCCATTTCCACTTGTCCTTTCCCCGTTCCGTTTCTACAATAAAATACCTCTGTGGACCCCACCCCAATGGCAAAATGGTAATAATTCCACAAGTCTCTGCCTCATTCACATGACCCTTTTTTCCCTCCTTCCTATTTTATAATTTTGAGAGACACAATAATACAACAATATTCCTCTCCACCACTCTCACCCTTCCCTCGCGTGTATCACGCCACTATTTTCTATATATATATTTTTTTTTTATTAATCTGGATATCCAACCCGTTATGCGAACTGACTAATCCCAGGACGACCACCTGTTTTGCATATAGTTCAGAGTCACTGCATTTGAACATTCATGGCCACAAGAAGATTTTTATTTCTTCTTGGATTTGAACTTGAGACTTCCTTGTACTTTTGACATTTGGAGTCAGCTCAAATCAATCAGGCACCACCTTTATGGTTGTATATTTCCTTTTTTAGTTGATATATATAAACTCCTTTTGAAGGGGTAATAAATTTGTATTAAACTAAACTGGTTAACATGTGTATCAACTGTACCAATTAAAGTTAATAAAGTAGGTTGGTAGTACTGTATTGAATATGTAAACTTGGTCGATATACTGTATTGGAACTTGCGTACCATGGTAGTACCATGATACTGTCTTATTTAATTATTTATTAGTTTTTATACTTTTTAACGCATTGAATATTAAACGTTGTAACTTTAATCACTTTGTTGAAACATTTGAATGTTGCAAGTTTTATTCCTTGTAATTAACACCCCTTAAACATTACATCTGTTACCTGGAAACTCAAAACGTCATTCAAAGTATGAAAAAAACGGTAGGTTTTCATCTATGTTACTTGAAATTGGTACAAAACCAATACAAATATGTACTTATCTGAAAAAAGTTGGTACTAAGTATAGTTGGTTGGTACACGGTATAAGATTAGCGTATCAATTACGTTCATTAAAGGGTATTTTAGAAATTTTATCTCTCCTCTCTCTGAATAACCATATTCCGATGAACATCATATGAATACAAGATACACAATGTAATACCTAAAAAAAATCGATGCAATCATAAAAAAAGATACGTACAAATGATACTCACTAAGATACCCAAGATACATACAAGATGTACACTGTGATACTCTTTGTAAATAAACAAAAATAACAAAAATTTAACTATCATACCTTTTATAAAATAACGAAAATACGTACTGTAATATATTTCATAGAGCAACGCCACCTGATGTACTTCGAATAATAAACATTGTGATACACTTTATCGGACATAACCCGTCTCGAGTTGGCTCAGACAATCGATACATAATTCAGAAACAATCAAAAGCCAAAAAATATGAAAGGGAGACAGAGTTGTTATTCAATATGGAAAGAGATAATTGTTAAATATGAAGAGAACGAGAGATAAAATTGTTAAATAATTTAATTAAATACAAATTGGGGAATATCAAATTAGTAATTACTTTTTTACATTTTTTTAAGAAATAACATTAATTATTTTAAATGATAATTAATTCACATTGGATCTTACGGTTATCACAAACTATCAAGTTTTCATTTGATTAGGTCTCTGTACACATACATTACATGTATGGTTGGGTTCACGTGAGACCAGTATGTTTTACGTGTAAAAAATAGTCTCATAAAAACATATTGATCTTACATGATCCCAAGTCTTTATGTTACATGTAGGGGTGCTTAAAAATCCGATCAACCCAACCCAACCCAACGTGAAATAGCTCAACCTGATGTCTAATCGAGTTGTAAAATTTTCAAACCGTATGTGCTGGGTTGATATATATTAGGTTACTATTATTTGAACCCAACACAACCCGATGAACTCGATACTCTTTTATTTTCTTGAATTTAATATGATTGTTGAATTTATGTTAATATATACATTAAACAATTACACTATCACGTACGCTCTTTATATACACATCTTTTCAATCTATTCACATCTCTATATAACTCATTCGTATATATGTTCGGTAACCGTAAACATATATATGTAAATTGAGAAATTAACTGAATGTGATATATGTAAGAAATATGAATAAATTGTATCAAATGGTTGATGATGAAAAAGAAATTATGTGTAGAAAAATAACATATTTAAGGTTAGAATAATATTTTAATGTACCAAAGTATCAACTCAACCAACCCGTACGGTTTGGGTTGGGTTGCACTTTCGTTTGAGTTGGGTTGAGTTAAGGTTTTTCAAACCGCAAACATTAGGTTGGGTTGTTCAAATGTTTTCAAACCGATCAACCCAACCCATGAGCACCCCTAGTTACATATATATATATATATATATATAGACTTGGGATCATGTGATACCAGCCTGTTTTCGTGAGACCCGTGAGACCACATTTTTAAACTTGAAACCTACTTCACAGCAAAATGCTGTAAATGTGACTTTTTTTAACCTTCACAGTGTTTTTGCTGTGAAGTTTACGTGTAAAAATGTGGTCTCACCGGTTTCACGAAAACATGCTGATCTCACGTGAACCTAACCCTATATATATATATATATATATATATAGATGAGTTGTTATACAACCCTTTACATTTGTACAACCAATACAACCCGATCTCAACCATCAATTTAGTTTGATTAATACGTGATTTCATAAAAGTTTTGATTGTTTCATACTATAAAGTATTGATATTGATTATAATTAATGAACATTTTCATTTTCCATAAATATTCAAATCATAATAAATGAACTCTCATCATTTTCATAAATATCTCAATTTATTAGGTTACATTAGTTATACAAATACGATGAATTGCATTTGAAATGACTCCCCCTCTCTCTCTCTCTCTATATATATATATATAATATAGTTTCTACTCCACGAGGACGATGGTTTGAGTAGGGAAGTGTATTACAGTCGCCGGATAAGGAGGTGGTAGAGATGGTGAGGGGTCACCGGTGGTGTATATAATTGATGTCCGTAGTATGATAGCCCCTTTCCTCTTTTCCACCTTTTGCTTTTCTCCCTCCCTTCTTCCATCCCTCCATCTCTCTCTCTCTCTCTACTTTCTCTCTCATCTCTTTGTTTCCCATTTTGCTTTTCTTTTTAATTTTGCTTCGCAGTTTAATAGCTGGATCTCTGACCCAATTGTCTGCTTGATCATCAACACCATCACTTTCTTTCCCTTTGTTTTCTTTCTTTCTCAATTAAACCCTAGCTACCTTCACCACTTATACAACCCCAATTACCCAGAAGAAGATCCAATACAAATAACCCACAAGAACAACAAGAAGAAAAGATGACTCCGGCGGCGGCTGCGGCGGCGACGACCACAACGACGACGACGAATAATTACACGGCGGGTCAGTTTGGAGATACAACTTACACAAAAGTGTTTGTTGGTGGGTTGGCTTGGGAAACCCAGAAAGATACCATGAAGACTTACTTTGAACAGTTTGGTGAGATCTTGGAGGCTGTTGTCATCACTGATAAGACCACTGGCAGATCTAAAGGCTATGGCTTTGTATGATCCCTTCTTCTTCTTTTTTTACCCTTATTTACATCATTTTTAACATGATATATATATTTACATATATATATATATGTATATAGATCTTGATGAACATGATATGTTTGTTGATATATATAACTATATATGCTATAAATCTTGGAAATCAATTGAAAGTAAACTAACAAATGAAGTGATTATTTGACACCAAATCCAACCAATTAAAAATGCAGGTAACTTTCCGGGAAGCCGATGCAGCGATGAGGGCATGTGTTGATGCAGCTCCGGTGATCGACGGAAGGAGGGCCAACTGCAATCTTGCTTCTTTGGGTGTTCAAAGATCCAAACCCTCAACCCCTAACAAACTTGGTAAGCATCAATTCTTTCATCAAGATTTTATATATATATATATATATATGTATATGTATATATATGAATCTGTTCATAAACTAGTATTTCATGTTGGGTCTCTTGATCTTTCTTGAATAGTATATAAAAACTATAAATCTTTTTCGACTTTAGGTTTGTTAATTCGGACCAGCATTTGATTTGGAATCAGTCGATAATTAAATGAATTATTTGTAGACATGATTTTATATGTATAAACGTACCGAACGGACACATTCGATTCGGTTGATACGAGTCGATCACCGAGCATTATTCCGATCGAAACCCGTAAAGATAGTATTTTTAATCAAACGTTTTATGGGATTAAAGAAGTAGAGATGGAGGATGAATATCCTTTGCAAAACAAGATTAAGAAAAAAAAGTTGTGTTTTTGATTAAAGAGAATCAATGAATATTATTGAGTGAGGTAGGGTTTCCACTTTTATAAAAGAATGTATCAATGTAATGCTTCAATTACAACCACAAAACATGCATACATAATCTGTATCTATATCTATATCTATATCTATGTATGTGTTTTTCTCAAAAATCAAAAACAAAAAAGAAAAAAAAAGTAAGCATGACAGGTCATTCATGTTCAACTTGGTGGTACTGTATCAGAAGCTTTCCTTCCATCATTTTCTTATATCTATCTGTATCTATCTGTATCTATATATATATATATACACATAGCTGAATGTATGTATATATATATATACATACATACACCTATCTTGGCATAAAGTCTGTAGAAGGAATATCTTGAAACACTGTTTGAATGGTTGACCCTATCTCTATATATATATATAGATGTAAATGGTGTATGTATATATTGATAAATATGTGTAAATCAATGTAGGTGGAGGAAGGACCATTAGGGTTATGGGTGGTTATGGAGGAGGGTATCATCATCACAATCATAACCATCATCAAGCTGGTGGTGCAGGTGGAATGGGAACAACAGCTTTCCCTTCTGCTACAGCCTTCCCTCATTATGCCATCCACCAAGGCATCCCTTTCCCTGCTACTAATCTTTATGGGTAATTTAATTACTCTCTTTCTATACATACATACATACATACATATACATATACATATAGAATAATTATAGAAATGAATTGAATTAATGAGAAGTTGGTGGCATGCATGTGGGCACTCTCTGCCAACTCATGGACAAAGAAATCATTAAACAAATTAAATTTAAAGCCATATATCTGTTCTGTAAATTCGCTTTCTGAATTCACTTATTATTCAGGCATGCTCTACCATCCACATGCATCACCATCATGATTGCCATCTTCTTTCTGACCATAGTCAAACTGACCTGCAAACTGCACATGACTACTGTACATTACAGTACTTTCATCCAAAACTTTGAAAATGATTTGGGACTTCTAGTCCTTTCTTTCTATTTCTACAGGCATATGCAATTGTACCATGTGTATGTATGTATGCATTTTTTTATGATATATCTAGGATTGTTTTCTGTTATTCACATGTGAATTTCTTTATATTATTCGTTTCATGCATGCATGCATGCATGCATCAACTTATGTTCATGTCTTTTACTTCTACTGCAAGTTAAGTTTTGATTCTCTAATTTTTAATTCCAATTAACTTCGTTTTTCAGATACTCTCCCTATTCTCCAGATTACACCTATCCAACGGTACGTTGATTAATTGTCTTAATTCTATGATAATATCATGACATTATGGATTTGATTTAATTTCAGTTTGATTTTGATTTATATTGTCCAGAGTTACTATAATGTATATGGAGGTACAAATGGGCAGTATCCATTCTATGGAACAAGTGTTGGTGCAGCTGGTGGTGGGATGATCACAGCTGCCGGTGCCGCCGCTGCAGCCGCCGCCTTCTACCCGTATCTGAACATGGCGGAGGGCGGTCACGGGAACTACACTACCGGTCAGAGTTACGGTGTGTACCCACACCATCTCTACCAGTACTCCGCCGTGAACTCTTCCGCTGGTTACCCACAACAGTATGGAACTCCGATATCGCTTGCAGCGACTACGCCATTGCAACCAGCAGGTTTAATTCGAGTTTTTATCCATCGTTTTTCTAACCTTTCCAGAGTTATATACATACTAACATTCTTGACAGTTTGTTTTGCTGTGCCACAGGCGTGAACATGGTTCTGCAATCACCAGCTGCTCATCATTAAGAGATTCATGAACTGTGCATTGATATATATCAAACCCACATGCATGCCTACTTCCCCTTCAATTCCCTTCTCAGAATCTTTTCCATTCTGAAAAAAAAAAGACCTTTGGCCCAACCATGGTTAAGTTACCTCTTTCATTCTCTCTCTCTCTCTCTCTCTCTCAATCTCTCCCATGGAGGTCCTAAAATCAGGGCCATCCAAGGCATGGAAAGAAACCCCCCATAGGGGTTACATCCAAATTTGGAGGACATTTTCCCATCTTCTCTTAAAAGGGCAGGGTCCCCTACAAAGAGAAGAAGGAACCCCACAAAGCATATGCATGTGCATCTCACCAACTCATGGCTATGAAAAACAGCTTCATTGAGTTGGGGAAAATCTCATATAATTCTTTGGCTTCTGGAAAAAAGCCAACAGATTATATATTAAGACATCATATCATTCAAAATCCAGCTCATTTTGTAGCCCTGCAATGGCTGTCCAAAGAGAGTTTGTAAATGGCTTCAAGTTTCAAAAAGATGTCTGGTTTAGATAATATATATACATATAGACTACTTTTAATCATGTGGGCATTGGAATGTGCCCTAAGTTTTTGGTCTTTTTTAACTTGAACCCTAGTCTTAGATTTTTAAAAACTTGGCTAGTAAGTTTCTGTTAAAACTTTTTCCATTTTTCATCAACATGTAGTTTTCGGAAAAAACCCTTTTCGTTTCGTTTCTCAAAAAATCCAGCATCCGTTCTTAGGGTAAGAACGGATACTGGCTTCTTTTTTCTTTCATAATTTCTCTGTAAATTTACTTTGGCTAAACTTCGGGAGTTTTAGCCATGTAACTAAATAACATTAAGCCATAGTTGTAGTGCATTTAGGTCTTTTTTCGTACCGACTTTTTTAGGTAGGTATCATGAGCTCCGTTGATGGAAACGGAGCTCGAAATGCATCGGAAAGTAAACCGTGAGAGATATTTTCAATCTTTCGGTTTACGATCTCTAACACATCAACCATGGTTAGGACTAAGGTCATCTTTTCCCTTCTTTCTCTCTCTCTCTCCTCTCTCTCTCCTCTCTCTCTTGAACTCAAGTCTACTTTGAGACTGAATCTTGGTACTCTTTTTATAATATGTAATCATGATCTAAGGTTTGAACTTCGGATTGTAACTAGCAATTAATGCTGCTTAATTACATGACTCATCCTCAATCAATGGTGATTGAGATGAGTCTCTACTTACTCCTTTTATTATCTTTTACGGGTGTCGGTGATCCCAGGCTTTGTCCAGACTGATCTTGTGGTAAGTCGCGACTGTAGGATTCGTCCACAGCCGTGACTCGTAAGATGAATCTCTCAGTAGTCGCAAACGCGCATACGTAGATGGTTGTCTTTTGCTAATTAATCTTGTATCAACAACTCAAACACAATTTCCCAATTGTTAACTCACTCACATATGTATGTATTATTATCACATCCATGTTAGAAAGTAGAAAAAGATGGTTTTTGAGTTTTGAATGATAACTAAATTACTTTTAAAACCAAATTTGATAACATTTTTTTTAATTTTTTTCTCAAATTTTTTACATATTTCTTCTATCAAAGTTAGATTTGAAACAATGTATATAATAAGAATCTTTGAAAAAACCACAAGGGCGGTGCCTGATTGGTTTGAGCTTGGCTCTAAAGGTCAAAAGTACCAGGAGGTTTCAGGTTCAAATCCAAGAAGGAATAGAAATCCCCTTGTGGCCACGGAGGTTCAAATGCGGTGAATCTAGGCTATCTGCAAAACATGTGGTCGTTCTGGGATTATTTGGCTCGCACAGCGGGTTGAATATCCAGGTTAATAAAAAAAATATTGGAATAATAATCAAATTTAAAGAAGAAAAAATTGAAAATTTTATATATACCACAATCAATGGTACAAATTAATATTATGTTAACTAGAATGGTGGTGTCTGATTGATTTGAGCTTCGACTCCAAAAGTCACAAGTGTTTGGAGGTCTCAGGTTCAAATCTAAAGAGGAATAAAAATCTTCTTGTGGCCATGGAGGTTCAAATGCGGTGACGTCAGATTATCCGCAATACAAGTGGTCATCCTGGGATTAGTCGGCTTGCATGGCCGGTTGGATATCCGTGTTAATAAAAATAAAAATAAATATTATGTTATAATTGTCCTTAAAAGAAATAAAAATAAGAAAATAAATAAATATATATTAAATAAAAAATAATGATATTTTGGTTGGAGAGACAACAAAAGATGAGTTTTATTCTTTTTTTTTGTACTTAAGATGCATTTTCGCATGCTAATTGTCTTATTTCCTTCTAATTAAAATTTATTAAACATAAAAAAATATAATTAAATTCGTATTCTATTAAATATGTATAAAGTTATTTTTCTGAAATTAATAAAATAATAAATACAATAAATCATACAATAAGAAATGAGAATAGTCGTGTTATAAAAGTCGAACAACATCATTATTAATAATATCTGAAGGTCTAATGTTCAAATCCAAAAACGAATAAAAATCTTCTTGTGGTCATGGAGGTTTAAATGCAGTGACTCCAGGCTACCCGTAAAGCAGGTGGTCGTCCTGAAATTAATCGGCTTATATAACGATTTGAATATTTAGGTTAATAAAAAAAAATAGTCTTTATATATTAAGCATATAATTAAAGTTAATTAAGACTATCTTAATGAAACTATATTTTCGCTCATAATTAAATATATTTGTCTTTTTACATTTATTGCAAATTTATCATAATAATGTCTTCACTTTATCCAACCTTAATTTGCCTTATGTTGATTCGTAATTGAGAAAATTATCATTCGGTTTTTATAAAACTTGAATATTTTTATTTTCGTGGTCGGATGGTTTAATTTATATTCGTTACATCGATGTAATAAAAAAAGACTTTCTGATTGAATTATTGACAAATACAGATCTGAAAAGACAGGATTGTTAGCGCACATCGTTGAACAAAACCGAGCACCAATTAGAGTTCATGTATATTGTCGTGACTAATTTTTATATGATGCTTGTATTTATAAGACATTTTTTTCAAATAAGAATGTCTTAAAAACTTGTTACGGGTTTTCAAATTCGTCTTGTAAACTTATTATAACGTCTTTAGATATGACACTTTATTCTTTGATTGTATAAATTAAGTCTTATAAAACGGTCTATTAGAACACTTATCCAATTTTATTGTGGTGCAAATAACTTCTTAGATGGTATACGAAGGTTGATTTAGAACAAGGATAAATAATTAAAATACAACTGAAAATAAAACTCGATATGTACCTACTTTGTCAGATAAACGTGCCGTCTGGCCCGCATGTGGGCCGCATGACTTGCAAGTGAACCACACAGTGTCCATAGGGTTCTTTCATTGGTTGAAGCATTACATTCAGACTTTCTCTTTTCATCGGTTGTTGCCTCTTCTATTATAACGCAAGGATTTCTTTAATTGGATGTGTTTACCAACCTTTTGTAGCTTTCAATGTCATTTGAAAACGACACCCTTCAGCCTTTTGTGGTCGATTCGGTTCGTTAATGCCCCACAAACACAACGTAATGGATGTTGGGAACGTCTTATGGCTCTTTTATGGTCGATTTTGTTGGTTAATGGCAACATACGAACATGGATCATAATTCCGATTATTCGAGCCACAAAAGTTGGGCGAAAGATTTTATAGAGGCTTATGGTAGGGATCGAAGCCATGATTATTGTCTATATTGATACTTTAAACGTTCTTGTTTTAGGTACCTGCAGTATCTCGGAGAGGGTTGTCTATGAGACACCGCCTTGATTATAAAGTCATAATCATAGAAAAAATGATAATCATATATATATATATATATATATAGAGAGAGAGAGAGAGAGAGAGAGAGAGAGTTGGGTTCACGTGAGACTAAGGGTTTTTGATTCGTGAGACCCGTAAGACCAATTTATATTCATTGATCAACTTTATAAGCTAATGATCTAGTGGTCCAAAGTTGCACGATAACAATTTTGTAATTATTGAGAAGTCTCATGGCGTTTATGAATATTCAGATCTGACGATTGTAGATCTAATTCAACGGTTGAGAATTGGTCTTACGGGTCTCACGAAAAACCTTGGTATCACATAATCCCAAGTCTCTATATATATATATATATGTGTGTGTGTGTGTGTGTGTGTACGTGTATATATTAAGAACGATGGAAAACTTTCAAAAAAGTAAATATATGAATGGAGGAAATGATGAAAATTGGAACGCGGAACAAACAGATACCAGGAAAAAGAACTGGTCCGATGTATATAAGCTACAACATAGCAATAAAAATGTCTTGATAAATACTCGAATACAAACACAATTTGAAAAAGTAACGCTAAATGGATAGTATCAATTATTAGTATAATCCGATATAGAAGTAGTAAATGAGTATGATTGTAAAAGACGAAGAGTAAAATCGAACTTTATTACGTAAATATCCCGTGTATAGTTGAATACCATATGCATACAGTGGATCACCATAGAAGCATCAAATCAAATCGACTGACAATATACAGCAAACCCTATTCATACATACATGTTAGTATTTGTTTTACATCTTATTTTTATTCATGATGCTGCTAAAATCTCTCGATTATTTTATCAATCAGTAATCCAGGTTCCGTTTTTTGAACAGCGTAAAAGATGAGTAACGACACTCAACACGATGACATATAATAAAAAGATGAGTAAAAGTTCGCAGATCCCTTGCTGATTAGCGAGAGATCTGCGAGGGAATTGGTTTTTAGACCATCCGTAGCTGATCAATGACAGATAAGCCAAAAACCAGTTCCCTCGCTAATCAACGAGAGATCTACGAGGAAAATGGCTTTTAGCCTAACTGTAGCTGATACTTTGTTTTCTAGTAACGTTATGAATCTATAGCAAGACAAATGTAAAATCAAATCAAACCAAAACCACTATATATTATATTAAACTCAAAAGTAAGATATAAAAGGTATAACGTACGTATGTATTTTATCTGTTTTAAGATGTAGAAATGCTATTCCTGAAAAATATCTTATTTACAGTATATTTTTTTGAAAAGCATAGCTGAAAGCTATATTTGAGACAAAGGTAGCAGGCATTTTGTTTCATATTCAAAATGAATTGTTAGTAAGCATCTATCACTCGGTAGGTGCTTACTTTCAGTTACCAGGTAAAATTTTCAATCTTTTATCTTGTCTTTTACCGAATAAGATAATTTTTTAGTTCAATTTTTTTATAATTTAATTTAAGTTTAATAACAAATTAATTTATTATAAGTTCAATAATAAAAATTTTTATAGAGATAATAATCAAATACTCTGTTAGAATTCAACAATTATGAATTATCCTAATTATTTTAGATTCTTTATATTTAAAACAAGATGTTTATCTTGTATTTGATTTTGTTTATCAGTTAATCATATGAATTCAAACATGCAGCTTTTAAAGTTGTGCTCATACTCGTACATCATTTACTTGTCATCTTAAATTTTAAGTAACATACATCATTAAACAATATTTGATGCATTAAAAATGGTTTTTAAGAATTTAACCCAAATGTATAAGCTTAAATAAAACTAAATAACCAATTCCTACAACAATATGATTTCAACCCAATGAAAACTTTTTAACATTCAACATTTAAATTTATTAGTATTACATAGTTAGAAAGTTGAATAACTTGCTAGTATTACATAATTACGTGGTTAAGACTACAAAAATCAAATTTTAATGTTAAACGCTTGCAAAAGCTGTGTACTGACATTTTTTTAAAGATATAAAATTTATATACGGTAAATACAGCTTATACAGAGTTGATATACAAGTAGAGATAAAAGCCATTGATGGATTTCATCTGCAGGTTAAGTATCCCTTACCCGAAGCCTCAGTTCAGTACTAGATGCTGAGGCTTTTGGGCTTGAAACGTTACTGAATTTATGCACGAGGATCACGAAACACGGTAAAAGAATTATGTAAAGTGTCCCCAGGATGATAGGTGCCAAAACCAACCACCCCAATAACTGCAACAAAGATGACCAAATCATGCATCCGAAAGGAATGAGGTTATGTAGGTGCGTTTGGTATGCTGAACAAAACAACACAAAAACTTGTTTCATTTTGGTGCGACATTACACTAGGAAAAGACATGATCTGAATGGGACAAAAACGCGTTCTTTTTCTTTCCTACCAAAATAGGCGGAACAAAAATCCGGGAGATGAGACAGGGTTGGTAAATTACTAAAATACCCATGTCCAATTAAAACCTTAGAACTTTCCAGAATTCTTTCACAGGCCTACCTCACTCTCGTTAAGGCCAATCCAGTATTGTGTGCGTACCAAATACACCCTAAGAGTTTGTAAAAAACAAAATTCTAGGAAGTCAATGTATGACATTTGCAAAGATATGATTCTAAAACTACAACTATGCAAGTGGCAAAAACTAGGAGGATTTTTTGGATTCTCTGAAAGTTTAAGGATGAATGGTAAGACTCCAGAATCTGTAGGATCAGGTCCATATCGAATAATCGGGTTAAAAGGTCGAAGGTGATGAGCCAAACAAACTACAAAATGGATCTCAACCGTTGAGTCTAAAGACGTGTGGACCTGAAGAGGCCTTTAGTCCTCGAAGGAGCTAGAAACCCATGTGGGCCTAACAATCTAAGCATAGAATATGAATGGAATAAATTGATAACAACCCGCATTCTACCTAACTGGCTAACTCCCAAATGAAAAGCAGTCAAGCCAACCTATAGATAAGAGGCAAACACAACTAACAAATGACTTCCAAAACTTTTGAGAGTAAAGCTTTATCGCATTCTCAGAGTCAGGTTATATAAAAAGTTAATCTGATTGGAGAACCCAAATCCTTTCTCCTACAGCTAGACTCTGGATCTGCTAAATCTACATCAGGATCACACCAAACCAAACTGAACCACTCAATCCCGCACGAAAGTAGGGCTAGGGTCTGGGCTAAATCTACATCAGGTCCCATAAGTTAAAAGTTGGCTATGCAGCAAATGGTAAAAACATGTTCAAGTTTCTCAAGCTCCATGATCGAAAAAAACTGAACCAGGAAAGTAGCAGATCTTAACCACAAGGATTGTGGTGTAGTGGTTGAGGTCTAGGGGGATGTGGTGGAATATCTCATCTGTCCTAGGTTCAATTCCAGACATCCACAGTAATTGTTGCCCCTGAGTTTATCAAATGTCTTACAATCACAATTTGCCTGGATTAGTCTGGGTGTAGCCCTGGACACCCTTCCAAAAAAAGTGGCAGATCTTTTTTTCTATCATCCTAAAAGATGTTCGACATTTATAAGGGATACCAAATGCAATTAGCCAAAATTTGGAAGGCCGTTTTGTCAACAACATAGATTGTGGCTGTGTGGAGAGTTCCCTTCATTTTATTGGTTTTTGATGTTTTAATCAATTAATGACTTAAAGAACCAACTATACCATGGGTGTGAACCAAGATGAGTGGATAGATAAGTTGATTTAGAAATCTTTCTCATGATTAGAAAACACTGCAATTCTTGTGGGATGGTCTAAGAATGAAAATGTAGACATCCTTGTGGGACCGAAAAAATGACCATTACCACATCTAAGATAAAAAGAATCATACAAGAAAGTGACAAACTACAGATTCTCATAAGTTCCCATGTGTAAATGTGCTGGAGTAAGAGGGCTAGATAGTGAAGCAAATGTAGGGTGCGTTTGGTACGTGGGCGGGACCGGACCGGACCGGACGAGCGCTAGGTAGGCGGTTGAAAGAATTGTGGAAGGTATTGGGGTTTTAATTTGACATGGGTAGTTTAGTAATTTACCAATCTTGTCCCATCATCCTGATTTTCGTTCCTCCTATTTTAGTGGGACACTATGTCCAGTCCCAGTCTAATTGTCGCGCCAAATGTGGGACAACAAGTTTTTGTTTTGTCGTGTCCTGCGTGCTAAACACACTCGTAAGAACACGGGAAAGATTCAAAGAGTTGGATGCAACCTACCGCATGGAGGATGCTTCGAACGATCTCCATTGAAGCTTCTCCTCTCATTACTTTCTTTAAAGCATTAGAGGTCAAAGGAAAATGAGGTCCGCCAGTAAGAAACTCACCAAAGCGCAAGAACACGACCATCAAACTAAATCAGTAAAAGACAAATGTAAATCAAAAGATCAAGTTATATACAAAGTTAATATAAACGTAACAGTTGCTTCAGTAAAATATTTCATAGGCACAGCATCAAGTTGCTATCAGCAGCAAGTACTATTAGTTAGAAGAAAAGGCATTAGATGTAAAGTTATCACACATATTGTCACCATCTTAATATAGTTCCTGCCATACATATTCTAAATTTATCTTCCAACTCCCATGTTATTAGGAATCCATGTGGAGGGACTACATGAGTTATATGTTCCAAACAACTGATATTAAGGATATCACATCTCAAAAATATTAGGGAGGAAGCAATAATTGCACTTAGCCTTTATGTTGGCCACATAATATAAATTTACCATACAAAATCAGAGCAAATACACTAGATTTTCCCATTGCTTAAATTTTAAATATTCTTCGTTGCATTTAATAGGGTGCCAAGAAAAGCCATATGATGGGTTCTTGAAAAGAATAAGGTTCCTACTCCCTTTATGCGAAAGTGACTAAAGATTTGTTAAGGGGAGATTTCTACGAATAGCTCTTTAAGTCATGCAGAGATTGGGTAAGGGTTGTTTGGTTGGTTTTTCATTAAGTCCTGGATGGATAAAACTGGTTGTGTGGATTAATTTGTCTGTAGAGATTGCTAAGGTTTTTGTTTGGGAGGGCTTTTTACAGATGGAAGAAGCGTGTTTTTCTCTTGGGAGGGGAAGGATTGAAAAAGAACTTGGCTTTCTGTATAAAGCTCCCCTTTAAAAGCTTACTGAATAAGCCACTTTCTATGTCATTAGGCCACTACCAAACAGTCATGTATAGCTGACCGAATAAGCTGTGACTCCCATTAAGCTTATTAAGCTGCTAACAAACATGCCCTAAGATTGACATGAAAAGCAGTGGAAAGAGATTTCAGTGAGTAGACTAGAGCAAATTAGCTGACCTAGATAAGAGTCCATAGAAGGATACTATTCATGTTCAAAGCCCAAGCATCAACCTTTTATAGTTACTAGTGAGTCTCACCTCTTTAAAAATTCTATCCAGTTTCATTTTAGCCTACCCCAACTAGTTTGGGAAAAGGCTTATATTGTTGTATTTGTAACTGCATGACTAACATGGAAATTCTTTTAGATAGAACGTCCCAACATATCTCGTGGTAATCTTGTGAGTAAATATTGAGGGGGGTTCACCAAAACCTTATTAACAGGTTAAAAATATAAAGAAAAGAATAAGGTACATAAACATGATAGTGTCCACTCATGTAACTTGTAACTTAAGCCACAATTACCAGTTATGTCTCTTAAGCTCAATGGCATCTCTACCTGAATCTAGCAGACTAAAAGGGGCTCAATGTCTGATAAATGCCATCATATAGAGAGAGCAAAGATCGTCTAAAAAGTTAAGAAGATTAGAAACTAATGGGTAAAAGAAGTAGAGGACTCCACAATTCTAGCAAGTGTAACCTTTAATGACATAAGGCAGTGTAATCCTCAAAGTGGGCAAGGATAACATGAACCATTTTCCATTTCAGATGGGAACAAAGACAAACACAAGAATGCGACTTATATCTAAAACATTTCACCTCAGCTCTATCGGAGTTGCAATAAAATTAGCCAACATAACTGTTGGAGCATTGACAAAATGTCCAAGCGCTGCTATAGCCAGCCCACAGAGAAACACTGTCACCCCTGTTAACAAGATAAGAAATTACCCAATAAGCCACAATAATAGATACGATTATGATACTACCTCAGTCCATAATAAGCATCCACCTTACTGTTCTGGTCTGCTCAACAACAATTTTTACTTACCCATTTTAAACAACACCTTAATTTACTTCTATTTTACCCCTAAAGTTAGTGCATGACTAATCACTTATTTAACCACAGGATGGGAACGAAAGAATGGCCTTTCAATTTTCTTGGTTCCCCTTCTCCAATATTACAATCTATAAGGGAACACATCGTTGATGTGTACCTAAATTTTAAATACTCTCTCTGCCTCCAAAAATTTACTTCATTGTCCCTTTCAGGTTGTCCCAACTTCTTTTCATTTTTCGGATTTTAGAAGAAAAAAATACATCACATTGGCTGTCTAATCCTTTGAATGAAAAATAGTTAACCAATTGCACACCTACTAATTGACAAACCATGTGTTTCTACTCTATAAATCTCAAAATAACAGTTGTCTTTTTTTACTCCTATATTACCATTAAAAAATTGGTATACGACTATTAAAAATTATCAGTCAAAAGGATATGTATACCATACCCAGACTCCAAAGGGATTCCTTGAGGATTGGAAAGTGCAAAGGTACTAATTATTAGAGCCTACTACTCGTCTAACTCCTAAAATATGTACCTGAAGTTGACCATTGTCTTCTCTAAGCAGGAAACCATACTTCTTGGAGCAACTACTATTGTGCATGCTGAATAAGACAACAAAGAACTCATACGTAGGCCTCGTTAGCTTACAAGATTGATAAGGGGGAGTAAGACTTGACTAAGGGATCCATCATAATAAATATGAAGAGTTGTGTATACTGTGTAGTGTTGGCTAACATTTTCAACAAATAACAAGCTACCAAGTTGATCATTATATGATGATATGAGAGGGTTGTATAGCACTAAGGCTACAGTGGTAAAGGGGTGTAAACCACACGTACCGAATATAGTGGTAGAGGGGTGTATTCACATCAAATCTAAAACCACATAACACAAACTTGAGCTTTTGTTTCTTCCAATTCCAACAAGCATCACGGCTTTCTAAAGGTTAAACATAATCTTTCTGGAGTATAGAAAATAGAGAAATCACTAGCAACGGAAACTTAGAGCAACAACTTGAACTAACAAGAACATGACATCTTCTTGTAGTTAGAGGTGCCACAATTTAATGGGTGTCTAGGGCTTTGCTTGTTTTACTTGTTTGCCATTTGCCTTCAATTCTTTTTCGCATCCTCATTCTTATGGTACCTTCAATAAATTCGAAATTCCCCAACATATGCTATCTTCAGAGCTGTGCACAACAATAAAACCCATTATTATATCCAAATTTCCTTATGTGCCAATGTTATAATTATAATACTTCTCTTGGTTATCCTATATATATCACATGAACCCTCATATAGGTGCTTATTGAAATTCAATTCATGGAGTATTGGTGCTTAAACTTACAAGAACACTTCTGTTTGCATGCAGAAAAGTAATTGATGAATCCTAATTTTCTATGTGTTTTATGCACGATAGTCATTCCAAGCTCCTTCCAGTGCTGATTCATTTAATTTCCTCTTAATTTCTTTTTCCTAAGAAAGCAAGATATCCAGTTCAAAAGGCTGTACCCTTCAGCATTGGGAACCAACAAAGCTTGCAATCAGTACCTAGCAGAAAAGCAAACAGGCTGGAACATGAAGCATGAAGGAAAAATATCCAGATTGTTAGCAACAGTAGCTTTAACCACAATGGAGTACTACAGTGAATGATCAAACTCAGCAAGAACCACACTGTAATATAGTTCAAAGGAAAAGTTAACTTTCGAGACCACACATCTTTTTTGGATTGATGATTGACATCAATTTTCTTAACTTTGTGATCGGGGGTAAATGTAAAATAAACATTCTTATCTCAATACGTCTAAACACTTGTAGAGTTGATCTATGTGAGCACACAAGTCAAATTGCAGTTTTCTGTAACCCAATTGCAAAGGGCCTTTGACCTAGCGGTATTCAGTAACCAAACCTTCCTAGAGATCAAGGGTTCCAACCTCACCAAAGGTGGGGAGTTTGTGTGAGTTTCATTTCCCATATATATATATATATTATTATATACTTAACAAGTCAAATTGCAGTTTTCTTTCTCAAGCATAAAATAAAGATTTGAACCAAAAACATACCAACGACTGGGAACAATCCTAATGAAATGCCAAGGGCAGCTGAGAATGCCAGCTTCTTAGGCTCTGATCCCCTGAAACCGAAGTGTCATATTATCAATAAAAACAGATGAGTATCAGCCAAAACCCTGCTAATGAATTTTTTTGCAGTAATTCAATCCAGTCAATAGAAACTCATCACTTGCAACAAAACTCTGGCCTCGTGGAATCAGATAACTAATTTTCTACTACTGCCAAACTTCAAGACCGACCCCTGGAGCAACCAGTAGGGTTACTTCAGAAAGATCATTGGTGGGATTCACAAAACACTCATAGCTACGGCCCTAACCCGATTGTTTCCTAATAATTGCTGTAAACCACTTTGCAGAATGTGAAGTAAAGACCTTGTACTGAGAATTCCCTCCCCAACCTTCTCACAGCCGATAAGCCTGGGGCCATCCCTAGTACTAAACATATTTTTTTTCGCTAAGACCAATTGAAGCACAGAACCAAAACACATGCATCCGTTCAGCTAATTCTACAAATCACAACACCTATGTGGCTACATACACATACATACTACTGGAAGCCTATCATTATTTGTAAACTTGTAATTCAGAGTAGACCCCCAAAACACGAATGCTTTTATATGAATTAGATGAAAATTGGGTGATAAATCTGACCATTTATAAACTTGGTACCTAAAACAGAAACTAAAAACAAAGAGAATGAAAGGAAAAAGGGAGTAGTTGTTTACCTGCGAAGGATTTGAAGGAAAGGATCAACGACCTTCTTGTAAAGCCAGGAACACGTTGCTCCTGATCCACTTTTCGGTACATTCGACATTTATAACATAAAAAACGAAGCATATGATTCCGATATCGAACAAGTTTAAATTCTTCTTAGAAATGATGAATCAAAGACCATAACTCATGTTGTTTCTTGATCAAAGAAATTGAAACCCCTCAGTTTTCAATCAATCAAACATCAAAAGATGTAGGATTTGGTTGGAGGAAAGTGATAGAAATCGAATCAAATTAACAGCACGAAATTCTGTTTCTATCATACAAATGAAAAGGTATCTTATCTCCTCGAATCGTTCTTCGATCTTGTTCGCCGTTTCCTTAGATTTTCTGCATGTTCTTCGATCTTGCTCGGCTCTCCATCACTCCATGAATCTTTTCCTCTTTTGGTAAGTGTACAGTCGCATTTCATTTTTGCCACAAAACAACCCACAATGTTCAAAATATACCACAAAACTAATAAAATTCACATTTAGACCACTATATCTCATAAAAAATTCTTAGGTACCGTTTGTTCTTAAAAAGATGTTGATTACTGAAATCTGAAATAATAATCAACAAGACTGTTTAATTGATAAATGGTTGAATTCGTGTAAGAGTTTTTTTCCAACAACTTCTTGAAACTGTACCTAAAATTGTTTCGGTTAATAAACCCACCACTTTATGCTTTTAAATTTAAACATATTAAAAAATTGTACATAAATAGGAGTTTGTTTCTGGAAAATTAGCCAACTATCATGCCCTTGTAATATGGCATCATTAGGGGTGAGCATAGGCGGATACCCGTCCTATTTGACAGGAATCAGAACCAGCGGTTCTTGAGATATTAAAACCGGAATTGGTTAGAGCGGTTCTTGAATTTTTGGAATCGGAACCACCGGGAACCGGTTCCGGTTCCGGATATCCGCTTCCTAAAATATTAAAATTTTGTTATTTAAAAGTAAAAAATAAAAATCGACAAAACACTAAATAAATAAACAAAAATACAAATTATACGGGATAATGGTTACAAATATTGCTTAACAATTACAAACCATAACAGATTAATAGTAAATGTTGAAAGTTTAACAATTAAATACTATAATTGTAAAGGTTAAAAGTTTACAAATCCAATTAAACACACAATTTGAAAAAATACAAATCATTTTATCTCAAATTCTGAATCTAGAGTTCTAAGTTTTTGACCTAATTTAAATTTAGTATTAAAAAAATTAATTTTTTTTTTCATTGAAAAATACCGGGTACCCGGTCCTGGAACCGGTCCCGGCGGGTAACGGTTCCAAAAAATTGAAAATCGGATCGAAACCAATCTCAATCGGTTCCATATTTTAGGAATCCGAACCACTCATATCGGTTCCGGTTCCGAAACTGGAAGTTTCAGTTCTGCAAGTGGGTATCCGGTTCCGCTGCTCACCCCTAGGCATCATAGTAGGCATCCTGCATACCGCTCAATTCCACCCTCCGGGATCCTTATTCTGAGGTTGTTCTTTATTGCTCCCCACGCTTTCGCACCCCAGCGTTGGTAGGGACCCAGAGAGCAAAAAAGCACAGTAGAATCACGCAATGCACACTGCTAGTGTGCTACCAGTTTTCATCTTCTTATATATCTCATCGCATACATCGTAATATAACCCTAACAGAAAATTGTTAGAGATTTATTTACTTATAGCTTTCTATATGTATAGCTTTAAGAGGGAAACATCAAGCTCATGACACCTTAGGGACCGTTTACCTGAATGCTTACCCGGTAAGCGTTTCCCATTAAGAGTCAACACTATAATTTATTTTATCGGGTAAGATCGCAGTACATCAAAACGTATCTTATGCAACAATTTACCTGGTAAGCACTTACCCGAGTAAGAGTCGTCACCCTCACTTACTGGGTAAGACTCCATTCTTCTCATCGCTCTTACCGGGTAAGATTATTGTCCCTTGCCATGTTCATCCGGTAAGGAAAATTGTCCAGTAAGTACTTACCGGGTAAACGTTTAGTAAACAACCCCTTACCTTTTTCGTTAGCAAAAATCATTGAAACCGACAAAAGATGAAATATGAAAATAAATGCATTAAGCATACCACGAAGAAAAATAACTGAAATTGTGTTGGTATAAATCATCAGCAACTAATGTAGGTGATACAGAACAAACATATACGTGAAAATGATGATGAAAGATTCAATAGGTTTACATGTAGAAAAAGCTAACGACGAGATCGAGAGAAAATCACAGAAACCCGAGATCTATATAGTCTGGATGGACGAAAATTAAAGGAAAGTTAACGATCAAGCTTAACATAAATCGTTAATCTGATAATAAGAAACTATATGAAAATTGGGGATCGTGTTTTTTTTGCAATCTATAAGATTTGTTCGATGTGATTTATCTTCGTTGTTAGTTCTGAAGAACAATAATAGGTAAATAAGAGGTGAGTTTATCTTTTTTTCTATCAGAGAAAGGTAAGTGATACGAGGATATGAAAAAACAAACAATTTTAATTGGTTAACCTATTACCGATTTATCTTAATTGGTTACCATGTTGATGTGGCATCCAACTTAGTATTATTTGATATTCAACCCAATTTCATCTCATCATTCGTCACATCAACATGGTAACTGATTAATGTTTCAATCGGTTACCCAAGTACTCAAATGTTTAAAACTTTACATATTTAAGTAACAAAATGAAAGTTATAAAAATACATTATCCAAAATATAAATCAAGTTAAAGTATATTACTTTTTAATGTAATTTGTAATTAATAATATAATTGATAAATGTTGCATGTATACAAAATATTTTAGGGAAAAGTACAATAAAAACCAATGAACTTTCTTGTTTGGAATGATTAAGTCCTTGAACTTTTTTTTGGAACAAATAAGTCCTTGAACTTTCCAAAACATGTTAAATAAGTCATTGGACAATTTTTTGGCACAAATAAGTCCTTGGACATTCTAAAATATGTTAAATAAGTCCTTAGACATTCCAAAAAATGTTAAATAAGTCCTTGGACATTCTAAAATATGTTAAATAAGTCCTTAGACATACCAAAAAATGTTAAATAAGTCCTTGGACAATTTTTGGAACAAATAAGTCCTTGAACAATCCAAAACATGTTAAATAACTTCTTGAACTTTTATAGAACATGTTGGATACATTCTTATGACTTGTACAACTAGTTAAAATGGTAATTATTTTTTTGTAAATGTAAGTACTTTTTTGTTATATTTGTTTAATTTTATAGATCTAAATACTTTTTGGTTGAAAAAATATTTAGGGGCTTAATCGTTCAAAATATGAATGTTCATTGGGTATTTTTTTCGGATTTTTTTTTCACTATTTTACCACTTTATTTTTTTCAAAAAGTTATTTAACAT